TACCTTTCCAATCAACCATCCAGGTTGTCTTGGGCTGGAAATTTGTTTCACTCTGTTTTTTTGTGGTTCTTCTCTAGAATTTGTTTAGAGCCATTTTTTACAGGTATTTGGAGGGGTTTGGGGGAGAACTCAAGTCACTGCTTTTACTCCACCATCTTGGCTCCGCCCCCGGTAGTTCTATTTTTAAAGAAAGTTTTCATGGGGCGGCTAGGTGGCGCAGTGACCCTGGAGTCAGGAGGTCCTGAGTTCAAATCCAACCTCAGATACTTGACACTTACTAGCTATGTGACATTGGGCAAGTCACTTAACCCCATTACCAAGCCAAAAAAAAAATCAAAAACAAAAACAAAAAAGTATTCATGATATACAGGACTTGATGTGTTTATGATAATATAATGTAATGATGTCTTTTATAATCCTTTGCCTTCTTTTGTTTCTTCAGCCCAAATCACTATTTCCTTGTAATAGTCTTAACATAGAAATCAACAAGAATCAAATTATACCTTGAATTGGTTTGGAGTAACTCATCATTTTCTTTTTAGAATTTCTCAGCATCTTCTTGTTGGCGAATAAGGTAGAATTCTCTTCATGGTGGCGTTTTAGCTTTTGCTTATTAACACTGCAGCTCAAAATGATCAAGTATCTTAGGAAATTGTTTCTTCTTGCCTATGATTGTGTAATGAAAGAAACCAATTCTGCCAAATGTACTTATAGAAGGGAGCCTGTGAGTGGCCTTTCCATCTAGCTGCAGCTTTGTTTTCCTTATTTCTGGACAATATAGAGATGGTTTGGTTTGGCTAGTGGCCAAAAATTGATACATTGGAAAAATTCTTACACTTAAAGTATGAGTAATTAAAAAATTGATGTTTACAGCTGGTTCAAATGCTTTGTTATTCTTCAAACCCTTATCCTTCCCTCCCTTTCCATCAATGCACCATTGTCATTGCAATTTGGAATAGAGCCGCAGCAGACTGAAGGGAGGATTTTTGTGTTTTTATTTGTTTCATGGGTTATTATATCAGTTTTTCATGTGACTAATCTGGGATATTTCTAATCTGATTTGTTTTCTGTTGATATTTTTTAGAATAATCAGCTTTGCTAATATTTCCATAATATGTTGTAATGTTAAATGCATTGTAATGTAATTGTAGCACTGTTTTTGGGATCATGCTTTGAAATGAAAACGCCTTTTATAGCAAGGTCTCTTTGGTCCTTCAGTATCCCCAGGTTAAAACTTACTTATATCAAACTCTACTCTATGTGAAACAGTGATATAAAGTTCTAATGAATAAGAAACACTTATGGAGTTTTAGTCTATCATACTTAGGCCCTGTGGAGAATACTAGAGCATAAGACATGTTTCCTGCCATTAAGGAGATTATTGTCTATATGGCAAAATAAAACAAATGTGAAAAGTTAAGTTACTTTCAAGACAGTGTGAAAAGTGCTCAGTGAGTGGTAGTGACAACACTTATCTAGGAGAGATGAGAGAGATCACTAGTAACTGGGATAATTAAAGAAACCATCACGATGTCAGTTGGATTTCTTTGACCTGAAAGGAAGAGAGAAAGAAGTTTAGCTTAGCAGCTAAGAACATAAGCAAAAGTGTATGGATAGGATAATAAAAGATGCATTTAGGGAGCAATGAGTAGATCAATATGGCTGGAACAATATGACTAGACTAGAATGGTAGGTTGGGTTTGTAAAGAACCCTTTGAATGTTTGCTGTCATGGGGCCAGTCAGTATATACTTCTTCTCAAAGGATGCACCATGAGTTTTGGGGAGGTGTGCCATGAAATCATTAGAACCTGTCCGAAAGAAGTTTGCTGTCCATTCTTCCTGGCTTGGCACTGGGCAAGTCACAGTAACAGCTCTTGTCTGCAGAGGGTGCGAAGCTGGCTTTTCCAGTCCTCAGGGGATTGAATCCAGGGGAGCTGTGGCGGTTTCCAGACTTCTCAACCTATAAACACTGGCTTACCCAGTGTCACATAGCTTTCTTCAGTGAAGTAAAAAAAGAGGAGGGAGAAGAAGAGGAAAAGATAAAGGAGAGGTGGGGAATCTCAAGGCCCAGCTAATGGGTCTAGAGGCCTAACTGGGATCCTTTGTTGACTGTTTAGTTGTTCAGAGTGCTGCAGTTACTCACTATAAAGAATACTCTACTTTGAGCAAAAAAGGGTTGAGAACTCCTCTTCTAGAGGAACAAGGCCGAGTTCTTTTTAAACGTATTCCTTACTCTTCCCAATGTCTGACCTCTGATGACTTCCCAATGTCTGATCTTGAGCGACACTTAACTCCAATCCCTATCACTCCTGGAGAGAATCCGGACTCCCCTCTAGACCCTTAGGCCCATTTCTCCCTTTCAGAAGGTGATGGGCTGCTCCAGTGGGGCTGTCACTCCTGGAGAGAATCCGGACTCCCCTCTAGACCCTTAGGCCCCTTTCTCCCTTTCAGAAGGTGATGGGCTGCTCCAGTGGGGCTGACACCTAGATGAATCGCAGTCACTAATAGACCTTTTCTTCTGCCCTGTAGCTGTACCCTTAAGACTTCTAGACCTTTGGATTTGCACTGCAGCTGAATTCTCCATGTTGGTTGCCCCATTTAGGGGGTGATCTCCTTGACAGCAAGTAGTATCTTTTTCTGTTTGTGTCCCCTGTGCTGATCATAGTGCTTGGCACAAAATGAAAGTTTAATAATAATAATGAAAGTTTCACTCATTCATTTTGGGAATCAAAACACCTTATAATGATTATCTCTTCCCCTGTCCCCAGTGCAGTATGGAATGCTCATTACCATAAAAATAGTACACTTTTGAGAGCAACTTTTAGAGCATTCTTTTTGAAAATTGGAGACATTTTAAGTTATCATCAACACTGATATAGAATGTAGATATAGCCATCTTTTGTGATTAAAAAAGGTGCTGCTACCTGAGCTACTGAATTTGGTGAGAAAATTTAAAATCTAAAATAATTGAGTATTCAGTTAGTGAATTGGAGATCCTCTTGTTGGAAATAACCTCTGGTGTGCAAATAGGCACAGTAAGTTAGACAGACTCAGGATAAGTGAAGCAGTGAAAACTTTAACACGCTTCCTGCAGGAAGCAGGTGTGGAACTCCAGATGAGCACACACACCCTACAGAAGGGAGAACAAATCTTACATCCCTGTTCCCGACCACAAGTCCCTCCTAGCCGACTTTCATATGTAGAAGTCAGCATGGGTCACAGACTTCCCCAAACACCCACCACATATTCCCCAGGTAAGTTTTAAGCTCGGGCCCTCTAAATAAAGCTTTGACCTTTGTCCTCCTTCCAGCCTCTGTAATCAAACAACCAGTTTCAGCTGGTTTCTGACCCAAAGCTACTTTTCCTTTCAACTTCCTTATATGGAAATATAATAATTTCTTACTTTTCACATGCTTAAAACTACTGTTGACCCATTTCACATTTCAGTATTGAGAAGATTCTAAGCTGATAATTGAAGAGGCTATTAATACCTGGGATTAATTTTTAGAAGGATCTTAATGCTACTATTTTCTAGAAATAGGCGTTTTTGCCCTAGTTTAAATGCCTTCCTTACTGCCTTCTCACTTTCTTTGAGAGAATTTTTTGACCTTAGTATCTAAGATGAATATACTTCAGTTTTAGGCTGTTTTTGTTGTTGTTTAGTCATTTCAGTCATGTCTGACTCATTGTGACCTCATTTGGGGTTTTCTTGGTGAAGATACTGGAGTGGTTTGCCATTTCCTTCTCCAGCTCATTTTACAAATGAGAAACTGAGGCAAACAGGGTTAAGTAACTTGCCCAAGGGCCATGCAGCTAATAAGTGTCTGAGGCTGGACTTGAACTCAGGTCTTCTTGACTCCAGGCCCAATGCTGTATCCATTAGGCCATCTAACTGCCTCCTAGAAGACTTCTGAGCAGTGTTTAAATTTTTTAAAAAATTGCATTATAGTTTGTAAAGAATATATTTACTATTTCTGCCTTTTTAGATTTGTTTGCAATATTTCTGTGCCCTAACACATGGCCAATTTTTGTAAAAGTTTGATGTGTTAGTAAGAAATACGTATTCTTTAGTAGTCCCATTAGTGATAATAATTTTTTTAAACTCTAGTTTCTCCATCAATTTATTCACTTCTGTATTTTTGTTTATCTTTCTGTTAGACTTATCCAGAACTGACAGAGACATTTAACTCTTCGGTCACTATTATGTTATAGTAGTGTCTTTTTGTAGTTCATTTAATGTTTATTTTATAAATTTACAGGCTAATGTTTGGAGCATGTGATTTTAATATTGATATTTTTTAAATTTTGTTTCTGGTTCCTTTCAGCACAATATAATTACCTTGCTTATCTCTTGTTTCAAATGTTTGTTTTTGTTTCTTCTGCTTCTTTTCAGTTATGTGATACATAGTAAATTTTTTCTCCAGATCCTCATAATTTTGTGTATGTCTGTTTTTAAACAGATTGTAGGGTTTTTATTTCTTATCCAATCTGTTGTTCTCTTTTATTTTAATAGATTGTTTAATATATTCATATTTAAAATCATGAGAGTTAGGTTTATATTTTCCTCCATTTGTCTTTATTATGATTTTTTTTTTCAAATTAGGATGTTTTTCCCCCTCTTCCGCTGTGTTTCTTATTTTAGCTCAATCTATTTTAAGATGTATTCCTCTTGGCATTAAAGCTTTTAAGGTACCTATTTTGGATTCCTTCTTCTGGACAGTTGTTACGTGATTGCTTTGTAGATCTTGTCCCTTGACCCCCTTTTTCCTTTTGTATCTCACTGGGAGAAATACCAATTCCTATAGATGATAAAGAGAATATTGCTTCTTGGTAGGAATTTTCCTGTGTCTCTGATTGTATATTACTGACCTTCGCCCTGAGCAGACTGAGTTGGAATAAGCTGTGCTGTGCTTTAAAAAATAAAACAAAAAAAAAGTGAAGATGGGAAAAAGGTTTGTAGTCCATACAGTTTCTTAAAGATTTAATTGTCCCTTTACAGAGCCCATGGAGTGTGCAGAAGAGCTCAGTGATTCCTGTGTGGTGGAGCAGACAGAGAGAGGCTTCCAGTGTGCAGTGGCTGTCCCTAGTCCACTGTTCAAGTAAGTTCATTCAGTTTTGTGTAAGTTGCTGCTCATAGGAAACATGGCAGAAGGTAGAACTGTGATTCTTCTCTGCTACTTTCATTTCATCTGAGATACCTAATGGCTAATTATGTTTTAGTTTGCCTGTATTCATTATTCTGGGAGTGAGCATTACATTACCACCATTCTTTCTGATGCAGACTTCTTTTTAGTTATACAAACATCTCTTCTGGAACACTGGATAGTATGCTTTTCCCAGAACCATCTTTGTAGATAACTTCTAATCTTTGTATAATAGTCACACTGATAAATCTAGTATGCCATTCTAAAATATTTGTTTTGCATGTTAAGTATTTTTATAGATGTAACTTAGTATTCTAGAATGCCAGATAATTTGAGATTTCCTCTTACGAAGTAAACATCTTTCTAATTTTGAGCTTCCTCTAAACTAGGTATCTTAGAAATAATTTTTTTTAAGAAAAGGAAGGCCAGATAAGTCTTTTGATGGATTTCTTTCCTGATGTCATTCTTTCCATGGTTGTTAGCACAGAAGTTTTTGTTTTGTTTTCCTTCAACCTTATTGTAATAATAATAGCTGATATTTATGTAGTGCTTATAACACGTTGGGCACTGTGCTAAAGACTTTACAATCATTATGTCCTTTGATCCTCCCAACAACCCTGGGAGGTAGGTACAGTTATTATTCCCGTTTTGCAGATGAGGAAACTGAGGCAAACAGAGGTTAATGACTTGTCTAGAGTCACACAGCTAGTATATGTCAGAGGCCAGATTTGAACTAAGGTCTAACTGATGCCAGGCCCAGCTCTATCTACTGTGCCCCCTAGCTCCTTATGTTATAAACTAAACCAGTTCTTTCACTGACGTTTTCTTTTTTTTATAATCTTCCATATGCTTTGTGTTTCTTTCTATTCCATTGTTTCATGCAACTTTGTTGTTAATATTTCTCCAGTTTCTGTCATCTGGTACCTATACTGACTTTCAGTAAATTAGAGCCTAGGATTATAAAGGAAAATCCTGCCATACTGTACTCAGCTTCTTACAGCACAGATGGAAAAGGAAGATAACTCAATAAATGCACAGAGGGGCCTGTGAAGGTGGTAAGGTAGGGGGTAGACCTTCAGGAGCAACAAGAGTTGAATCCAGGGTAATAATGCTGCTTTCTCATGTCTTTAAGGTTTATCTGAAACCTGTGTATTTCTATTATAGACCTTTTGCCTCTTGTTGATTTTCTTTGCTAATATAGAGTTTAGGATGTTGAGTGAAACAAGATTTTATGCCCTTTTTCTGACTTAAAATATTTTAGCCACTTATTTTGCAAACATTTGAATTAGTTTCTAATCACTATTAAATTTTTCTTTATGTTATAGATATATAATTGGGAAGAAAGGTGAGACCAGAAAGAAACTAGAAATGGAAACTCGAACTTCTATTAACATCCCTAAACCTGGAATGGAAGGAGAAATTGGTGAGATTTAGTATGCATGTGTAGTATAGTCATTCTCACTTTTGTGTATATGTGAAAATAAGGTACATCCAGGTGAATGTAGCTGTATTCTTTTTTTGTTGTTTTTAAAAATTAAAGATTTAAAAAAATTAACAAAAATCTATTTCCTCTTTTCCCTCCATCTTCATAGTGGAAAAAAAGAAAAACCAAACCCTTGTAACAAATATTTAATAAGTATATAACGAATATAGTCAAACAGAACACTGCCTTTCTTTCAAAAGGTGAGTTTCATCGTGTTTCATCATGGGTCATCTGGATTCCTTGGTAGGTCATGTTGATCAGAGTTCTTAAGGCTTTCAGAATTGTTTTTGTCTTTACAATGTTGATGTTATTATATATAAAATTATTCTTCTAGGTTACTTACTTCATTTTGTCAGTTCATATGAGGCTTCCTAGGCTTCTCTGAAATTGTCCCTTTCATCAGTTTTTATAGCATGATAATATTTCATTACCCCAGTATGCCCTAATTTGTTCAGCTATTTCCCAATTGATTCCTCCTTTAGTTTTCAGTTCTTTTTCACAAGAAAAACTGCTATATTTTTGTACATAAGGGTCTTTTTCTTCTTTCTTTGATCTTTTTGGGGTCTAGGCCTAGTAGTGGTATTGCTGGGTCAAAGGATATGCATAGTTTATACTTTTTGAGCACAGTTCAAAATTGTTTTCCAGAGTAGCTGTTGCTATTCACAGCTCCACCAATAGTGCATTAATGTTCCTGTTTTTCTATAGCTCTTCCAACATTTGTTTTTTTGTTTTTGGTCGGCTTTGCTAATACAATGGGTATGAGGTAGAACATCAGAGTCACTTTAATTTGCATTTCTCTATTACTGATTTGGAGCTTTTTCCCCTTTTTCTAATACATGGCTATTGACAGCTTTGATTTCTTCCTTAAAATACTACCTGTTCATATTTTTTGACTATTTATCAATTGGAAAATGGCTCTTATTCTTGTAAATTTGAATCAGCTCTTTATATATCCTGAAAATGAAACCCTTATCAGAAAAAGCTTACTGCAAAGATTCCAGACCCCACCTCCACCACAGTTGTCTATTTCTGTTCTAATTTTAGCTACATTGGTTTTTGTTTGTGCAAAAATTTTAAAATTTTATGTAATCAAAATTTTCTGTTTTATCTTCTGTGATTCTGTGTCCCTTGTTTGATCATGAACTCTTCTTTTATATATAGAAAGGAAGGATAATTTCTTCCTTGCTCCTCTAATTTGTTTATGTTGTCACTATTAATGTCTGAGTCACGTATGCTTTTAGAGCTTATACCATGTGAGATACTGGTCTATGCCTAGTTTCTGGCAGACACTTTCTAGGTTTCCCAGCAATTTTTAATCAAGTATTTATTGCCTTGTAGGTCTTACTTCAGGAGTTGATGTTTTTGGGTTGATCATATATGAGGCTATTGTGTTCATTTGCTTCTTTATATTGTTTATCTTCTCTATTCACTGATCAACTTCTGTTTTATAGGCAGTATTAAATCATTTGGATAATTACTTCTGTATTTAAGATCTGGTACTGGTAGGCCCTCTTCCTTCCCACTTTTTTTCCATCATTTTCCTTGAGATTCTTGATCTTTAATTCTTCCAGAGAAATTTTAAAAAATCTTTTATTTATTAAAATTAAATTTAGTAATATACGATATATTATATATAAATTAAAATTAATATTATTATTAGTTATTACTAAATTATTTTTTCTAACTCTACAAAGTAACATTCTTTGGTAGTTTGATTGAAGTGTCATTGAATTAATTTAGGTAGTGTTGCCATTTTTATTGTATTTACTTGGCTTGTCTATGAAGAATTAATATTTTTCCCTTTTTTTATTTGCATGACATGTTTTGTGGTTGTTTTCATGTAGTTTTTGTTATCATAGTATTCCCTGGTATCCTTCCTCCAAAGGAGTCATCTGATATAACAAATAGTATATTTTAAAGAAAAAGAAAAAGAAAAGGAAGAAAATCAGCACAACTGATGAATAGATTGAAAAAGTCTGAGAACATGAGCAGTGTGAACACCTTTGGACCTCTTCTTATCTCTAAGAAAGAGTGGATTGGGAATGTTCTTTCATATCTCTTCTTTTGAGCCGGGTGTTCTTTATAATTTTACAGCATTCACTTTTGATTTCTTTGTGTGTATGTGTGGTTGTTCTGTTCATTTATATTGTTGTTGTCGTCATTTTGTATATTGTTTTCTCGGCTATGCTTACTGTACTCTGCAACAGTTCATATATATCTTTCCATACTTCTCTAGCTTTGTCACATTCATCATTTCTTACAGGATAGAAATATTTCTCTAAATCATATACTGTAATTTGTTTAGCCATTCCCCATTTGATAGACATCTACTTTGTTTCCAATTCTTGCTATCACAATTAGTCAATACTTGGGGCAGCTAGGTGGTGCAGCGAATAGAGCTCTGGCCTTGGAGTCTGGAGGACCTGAGTTCAAATCCAGCCTCAGACACTTCACACTTATTAGCTGTGTGACCCTGGGCAAGTCTCTTAACCCCATCACCTCACCAAAAAAGCAAAATAAAACAGAGACAAATAAAACAAAAACAATTAATCAGTCCTAAACATTTATTAAGCATCTGTTATGTGCCAGACACTGCCTAAAGCACTTGGGATATAAAGAGAGGCAAAAGACAGTCCCTGCCCTCAAGGAGCTTACTACATGGGAGGGACAGCATGCAAACAAATATATGCAAAGCAAGCTTTATATAGGATAAATAAAAAAGAATTAATAGAGAGAATTAAGAGGAATTGGGAAAGGCTTCCTGTAAAAGATGAGATTTTACTTGGGACTTATAGGTGGTCAGAGAAGTCTATGAGCAGAGTTTAGGAGGGAGAGCATTCTAGCTATGTGGAACAGCCAGAGAGAATGCCCAGAGCTGAAAGATGGAGTGTCTTGTTCATGTAACAACCAGGAGGCCAGTGTTACTGTATTGAAAAGTATGTGTTGGGGACTAAGGTATAAGAAGGCTGAAAAGGACGCTAGATTATTCTGGGCTTTGAATGTCAAACAGAGCATTTTATATTTGCTCCTGGAGGCAGTAGGGAGCCACTGGATTTTATGGAGTAAGGCAGTGACATGTTTGGAACTGTGCATTAGAAAAATCACTTTAGTGGCTGAATGGAGGATTTGATTGGAGTGGGGAGAGGTGTAAGGTAGACTGACCCACCAGTGGGCTATTGTAATAATTCAGGTGTGAGGTGATAAGGAACTGCACTAGAGTGGTGGATGTATCAGAAGAAAGAAAGGGGCATATTTGAGAGATTCTGCAAAGGCGAAATCTATAGATTTTGGCAACAGACTGGGCAAAGAGAGGTAAGAGATAGTGAGAAGTTCAGGGTGAGGACTCTTAGGTTATGAGCCTGGGTGACTGGGATGATGGTGAAATCTATAGATTTTGGCAACAGACTGGGCAAAGAGAGGTAAGAGATAGTGAGAAGTTCAGGGTGAGGACTCTTAGGTTATGAGCCTGGGTGACTGGGATGATGGTGTTCTTGACAGTAATGGGAAATTTAGGAAGGGGGGAAGACTTGGGGAGAAAGATAATAAGTTCAGTTTTGGACATGTTGAGTTTAAGATGTCTACCACATAGACTGGTTAGTAGATCTGGAACTCATCAGAAGCAACTGATGAGATCACCAACCTGAATAGTATGGAGAGAGAAGAGAACAGGGCTCAGGACAGAGCCTTGGGGACAACCAAGGCTAGTGGGTGTGACCAGGATGAAAATTTAGGAAAGGAGACTGAGGAGTGGTCAGAGAGGTAGGAGAACCAGGAGAGGGCAGCATCACAAAAACCTAGAGAAGAGAGTATCAAGATAAAAAGGGAGATCAACGCCATTAAAGGCTGCAGAGAGGGAAGAAGGATGGATGAGGATTGAGGCCATTAAATGGGCAATTAAGAGATCATTGGAGAGAATAGTTTCAGTTGAATCATGAGATCAGAAGCCAAATTACAGAGACAGAGAAAAGAGTGAGAGGAATGGAAGTGAAGGCACCAATCACAGACTAGCCTTCTCAAGCAGTGTGACCACAGTAAGGAGGAGACATGGGATTATAGCTATAGGAGATAGATGGGTTAAGTGAGGCAGATACTGGTGTATTTGTAAGTAGTAGATGAGCAATCAGTGGACAAGTCAGTTGCTAGTTCTCTTTCCCTCTGGAAATTTTATTTTTTCCTTATTTGTGTAAATGTTACACTCCTTTCCTCTCCCAGTAGTAGTTTTGCTATTTAAGTTATTCTTGGCTTGCTTTCTGAAATTCTGTGTTCTGAGCCGTCTTCTTCCCTGCTAAATCATGTGTGATCCTGACTGTGGTGCCTCAGTATTTGAATTCTTTCTGACTGCTTGCATTGTTTTTTTCTTTGATCTTGAAGCTCTGGATTTTGGCTATTAACATTCTTGGAAATTTTCATTTTGGGTTTTATTATTTTTTTCAGGAGATAACTTGATGGATTTTTTCTGTTTCTACTTTGCCCTCTGTTTCTGAGAGATAGAGGCAATTTTCTTTTAAGATTTCTGGAAGCAGGATGTCTAGCTTCTTTTTTTGTTATGGCTTTCAAGTAGTACAATGATTAAGTGTTTTATTTTTGTTCTGTTTTCAGTTGCTTTTGCTATATGATGCTTTACATTTTCTTCTTTTTTCTTCTTTTGGCTTTGTTTTAATACTTTGTATCTCATATGGTCATTATCTTCTCTTTGATTCATTCTAATTTTCTAAGAGTTTGTTGTGCAGGCAAGGTTTTGTACCTTTTGTACCAAATTGTTTCCTTTCTAATTCTTTCTTCTATAGCTCTCATTTCTTTTCCAGTTTTTCCCTTTAATACATCCATTTCATTTATAAAAATATTTAAAACTCATTTCATTTCTTCCAGGAATTCTAGTTGAATTTGTTATGCCCAGGCTATGTTTTACTTTGAAGCTTTGCTGGTGGATGTTTTGGAGT